ATGTTAGATATCTGGGACAACCTCCAAATGAATCACGAAGCAACCTCGTAAGCTTAGAATCTCTCGTAGGGATATGTGGACTGTTTTCCGCCAATGCATTTATACATTTTCCAAGGGAACTAAGTGAAAGATTTATAAATTTAGCCTCCTCGAGCAAGTGGCCCTCACTGCCTGCAACATGAGAAAAATAATGTCAGGAATAACAATGCCATCAAACCAAGATGCCACCCCAGAATTTTACAACTGAAAACTGCAGATTATTTCAAGGAAGAATACATGCTATCTGGCTTAAATTAACATAAGATCATGCTTCCAATACAAGATATGTAGAACCCAAATCAGCAACACTTATGGAAAGACCTCAAATGAAATTAATAATGCTTAGTGTTGAGTCCAAAAAGTAATTGTCATAAATAATTTAAAAAATGCCAATAATCTTTAATAAAGGAAAAACAAGTGGGGGGAAATGAGAGCTTAAAGTACTACTTCAGGTGTACAGTATCGACGACAAACCAGATTTATCTATTCTTTCAGATCCTGCAAGATCGACAATCAGCAACTTGCTTCTTCGAACTATAGGTACACTATTTCTACCAGATAAATCAGCCCTAGAGGCTTTTTCTTGAGAAATCATCTCATCTACAGCATTCTCTTGCACAGCTCTGCGAAGAAAAACCTGTAAACATAAAAGATTCAAATAATGAATAAGTCCAGATCACTGCTATTGAAAGAAACAATGTCTAGCAAGCATTAATCAATAAACCCAAAATTATACAACAGACCCACCATGAGAATCGCATGGCTACGTGAAGATTCCGTATTCAGCTTCGTGTTAGCTGCATGACGGTTTGCCTCACCAATTTGCAGAAGTTGTAAAAAGTGATCAAGATCTTTAACTCTTACTACTGAAGCACCAGGAAGTGACACTTCACCAGTCTTGGGGTCCTCACTAATAGGAATATTAGTCTTTTCTGGTGCAAGCAAATCATGAATAGATTCCATGTACAACTGGAGCAACAAACACAGTTCTTCATACATAAGCAATCACCCAACATGTGGTAGTAACAATGACTATCTACTTCAACATATAAGGGATCATATGACAAGTAATCTTTAGAATTTTGGAACAAGTACCAACTGAGAAAATATAAGTTTATGTTCATAATAGTTATTGAAAGATATGGCAGGCACTTAAACTGCAAACAATATATAAAGACAAGGGTTTGACTGAAAACAACTATATTTTCAGCCATTCTTCTTCTACTGGATAAGGACAGAGTTCTACTAGAGATGGTGGAAGTTCACACCTTCCTGATAGTAATACCTCATCGTAGTCTCATACAACAAGTTGACAAGTTGATGTGATGGACCTTAAACTGCACACATTGTTTACTGAGCCCGTGTTCAAATCCATGAAATTATAGCTTACACCTCCAGGTTCACCAGTACTTTCCTAAGTTGTTATTAAGACTTGCAGAGTTCTACTGAATTATTAAAACTTTTTTTGTTTTTAGCAGTGTAGCGTTCAACTCAAGAAATGAAAAGTTTCAATTAAGATTTTACATGGAGCAGTGAACAAAACCATGCTAACGGTGGAAATCTAGCACTTCAACAATAAAGTTAGCCGTGAACTTTGACACAAAACCCTGACCATAGTGGATTATCAAACTCTCTAAGAAGTTCATATGAAAGAACAACAAACACAAAACACATAAGGAAATGCTGATGTAACATAGATTGCTACCTGCAAGTAGGAAACTTCCACGCTATCATTAGCTGGAGTTGTATTCGAAATTATGTCCTCCAAAGCTCTAACCATAATACCACGCTCAGATGGGTCATCTTTACCCAGACTGCCAACTGTGTAAGTTTTCCCGGTACCGGTTTGGCCATAGGCCATAACTGTCCCATTATATCCATTCAATACACTCTGCAAAAGAATATCAAAATTGAATGTACATAATTAACATGGCATCCAAAAAATTTAAAGATAAATTTCTTCTGCGATAATGACAGAAGTAAACATTGGCTTGAAATTAACCAATCAAATAAAGATATCCAGACAGGTGCAATAGAACGACACATTGAGCATTTCAACACCTGACATGAATATATATACTGGGCCACTCACCTCAACTACAGGTTTTGCCACTACTTGATAAACACGATTTTGGGAGGCAGTTTCAGTAAAAACTTCATCAAATCTATAAGACTCAGAACTCCAATTGTTCTTTCTCAACTTTAGCCGCTTCAGCTACATTATACATAGAGAGAAAATCGATACTTTTAATTTATTAGATTATTAAATAAATATGCTTTAAGAATCAATCATCATAATTCTGGGAAAATGTCAAACTTCAAATCACCTCTGGCTGCAACTCAACACTGTCTGCGTAATCAGAATCCGAACTCCGGTCCTCGGGATTTCTCGGTCGAAGCCTAACAGCAACCCTCACTCTTCCATGCTCTGTTGGAAATTATAAGCCAAAGTCCCAAACAAAGACAAACAAAATACTTTTTAAAAAAATTTAAATTTTGTTCATTGCTCTAAGACTCTAAGACTCACATCAGCAAAATCAAAGTTGAAATGTGCTTGATATTAATTTCGATTAACAAGAACATAAATTCCAAAATTCGAGAGAGAGAGAGAGAGAGAGAGAGAGAGAGAGAGAGAGAGAGAGAGAGAGAGAGAGGGGAGGAGACCTTGCTGATAGTCGGGGTTAGAGTGAGGAGTTCGAGAGTTGGGAGTAACGGAGCGCCGTGAGCTTGAAGACGGCTTAGAGCGATGGCTATGGGCTTGTGACGACGTCGTTTGTCGACTGGAGTGAGTAGGAGGGACTTGCTGTCTCTCAGACCTCCCACTAACACCGTTACTGCCATTATTATGCACCGCTGCCACTGCTGTTGCCGACGACGATGATCGTACAGAAGACGAAGACGAAAAAGACAAAGAAAAGGAAGCAGCCATTGATTTTTGAAATCAATTCTGAGTCAGTAAATCCAGATGCAGAGAATTGCAGAGCAAGAAGATTCTCGAGCTTTATTATGATTCATGAGAGAGAGAGAGTGTGTACAGGCCGGCACGACGGAAGAGAGAGAAAGAAAGAAATAATAACAAGTGAATGAGAGAGAGGGATTGCGATTTGCGAAGCGCAAATTAGATATGAAAGAAACTGGTTCCCGCGTTGTGGGTTACGTTTGAGGAGACAAGAGACGGCCGTTATATATTTATTTGGTGTTTTTTTTGCTGTTCTTTTTCCTTGAATGCCGTAAAGTAATAAAGTTGTGCTTCTCTTTTTCGAATTTCAGAGACCCACTTTTTCACCCTCCATTTCATCCGCACGTGGCCCATGTCTATTATTACTGCCTTTTTCCCTGACATTCTGTTTTCTTTTTCTCATTGGCTTTGCTTGTCAATGTTGTCATTATATGAAAATATTTGTGGACCCAGTAAAGTTCTACAGTGCTGGGCCCAGCTTAGGAATCCCCATAGCTTATCCCTCATCGATTCATAAATTAATCTAATTTAGAGCAATTAAGATTCGAATTTAGGTACAATCAAATGGCTTAATTTACATCTGCGAAATAAACACGAACAATTCCGTCATGTGTCAATGAGTGCAAATGGATGGTGAGTGAATCTATGTCTGCTTGTAGGTCCCTCTCATAAATAGAACACCTTTCTTTGCAAGCAATACATCACCCATTTATAAAAGCGATGGTGCACATGTAGTGTTAGGACATTGTAATCAGAGAGACAATGATATTAACTGGTGATGGTTAATTCATTCACACCGAAAAAGTAAAAACACGATCGTTTGTTATGGATGGTTCAACTGGTTTCTTTTTTTATATATATATAAGAAAGTCTTGTGTTTCGAGCTTTGTGTCTGTCATTTTGTATGTAGAAAGACACAACGTGAATGAACTTTGCCGTCCCAAACAGAAGATTTGGTGTGAAACTTTCTTGTTCAAGTCAAAAGCTGACCACTTCAATCATCCATTCCAACACAACTTTATAAAAAAGATCTTATATTACATATATTAATTAAACCTAGTTATCCAATAGTAAAAAGATTAGAAAAGATTAATGCACATCTCCCAGATGGCAGATGGCTGCGTGACTTGGGTTGTTTTGAAGTGAAATGAGTTGGACGTGTCGGAGTGAGGAAGATGAAGAAATGTTGGCATTTGATGTCATTTCATGTGAGCTATTTGTTTGGTTGTGTTGATTTGGCCGGCAACGTACCGCAAATCCCAGCTGGAATGAGACAATGATAGCATGTAGTATTTTTTTTAAATAAAGTTTGTTAGCCTCTTATGGCTTGGACAGAACGGAAATAGATTAGAGAGAGATACTTGGACTGTTTGACAAATTTTCATTTATTGATTTGAAAACTAGAAATGGCTAAAACTGCAGCAGCTTGGTTTCATGTTAAAGGTAAAGCACCTGTCAAGACCAAATCTATGTTTGGTGATTTTAAAAAAACAAATGAAAAGAATCACAGGAATTGATTTGAATTTCATCAATGGTTCAGATGAAAAATCCAATCTATCAATAGCAACAACCAGAAACTACAAAAATCTAGAAGAGGTGACATATTTTCTTTGATGTACAACTAATCTAAGTGAAGTCCATCGCAATTTCTGATTTTGTGGCAAACAGCATATGATTATGAACAGAAAAACAACCATTTTGGTTAGAGGTACTGGTTAATCAGGTGTGGCACCCCGGATTATGACTATGCTACCCAGCAATTCGTACACTTCCGAGGTTTATACATAGCTCTAACACCTGCAATGAGCATGGCTTGTATCCTGTTATCGGCTGAGACATAAACTTCAACCAATCAACAAGATGATTCCTTCCAAGCATATCCAAATACTGCCTGAAAAAGGGGTCGGGGCAATTCAATAGCTCCGGCTTGATACATTGGTGAAGTCCCCAACAGCGCCTTGAAGATGCACTAACTTACAGGAAAACCAGCCAATGAACCTTCCTAACTCTTCCAACCCAAGGCAGAAAGATCGCCTTGTTTTAAAGCCATGTGCTTTCCAAGCCTGAAAATTTGAAGTCAATTAGCAAGCAACTCAAAGGGTCTAGGATTAAATTATGATGGATGGTGGCTATTGCATATGCATGTTCCTTGTACAAGTTAAACAGAGCATCAGATAACTTTTAGTTATGATACCAACTACAAGAAAGAAATAAATGCTAAATACTTTTGACATGCACAACTGCCAATACATAACAGGGTGATCTCATGAACAATTACCCAAGATCTGATGGAAGCCTGAAACCACCTATGCGTACGCGCTTTAATGAATGTATCTGGAACAACAATCAGCATAAGCAGAACATAAATTTCAAAAACAAGAAACAATACAGGTAAGAACTAGCGGGGAATTTAAGATTGGTAAGTCCATGTCATCAAAGGTCAAATTTATCACCATATTTTCAGTTTCTAGGGAAATGACCACACAGATCTTTAAAATCATACCTCAAGTTCACAACACGTATGTGGAACATAGAAACAACTGTAACTCTCTAACAACTTCAAAAACAGCATAATGACAAATCAAAACATTTAAAAAGAAAACAAAATTAGGAATATTTTTAATGAAAGTAAAGTATTTACTGTCTTAAAGCAGCAACAAGAAAACTTTTATTCAATATAGTCACAAATTCAAATTACAAATCCAATTTAGAGGATCACTAAGTCCACCTCATATTTCTTCATAAATGTGATCGAGTGAGGACAAAAAGACAAGCAAAATCAGAATTGTTTATGGAATGAAGAAAATGCTCCGCCCAATAAACAAATCTAACCTCAAGTCCAGCATTTTTCACTAGTTCTCGTACTTCATGGTTCCTCCCTTCATGAACCTGCATGAATCCAGGTGGATAAAATGAAATCCATGTGATTGGTATTGCAAAAGTTGAAATTGCATGCTTTAGCCACAGCTTTATAGTTGTTCAGGTTAACATTCTGTGTGCATCTCCTTAGTCAGAAGGCAATGTAGCTTCCCCAAAACATGATAACATGAAACAGCATATCATTCTGGAGATCTTCCAAAGTTAAATACCCAGTGTTATCTTATCAACCCGAAGAATGATAATGTTCATATCCAATACAGTTTCCACTCATGCTAGTAAAATTATAAGATTATCAAATCTTGAAACATTGATTGTGCATGAGAAGATACAGTCCATGACCAAAAGAAATGAAAAACAAAGGGATAAAATAAAAGTATCTTATACTAGCATTTTTGGGCTAACAAAACAATGATACGTCAACATATAATCTGTCACTTTTTTCATATTTAAAAAAGAAAAGAAAGCAAAAGAGAGGCATGAACAGATAATTAGTACCACAATACGCAAACGGGGTCTTGACATATCTGGCTGTTGTGGTAGCAACTCCACAGAATCTGGGGTGCAATGGACGCCTTCAATGACTGTTCCCTCACTGATGGCTAACAGGTGCCGCTTACCGACTACACCTTCTATTGCGGCAATGTATCTACAATTACAATGTAAAGGTGTAGGTCATCAGCATTCATATTCCAATGGAAATTACTTGTAAATATCAACTAATGGAGAACAATGACCAGATGATGACATTATGAACTTGCAAATACATATGCCCAAATTTGTTTTTTGAACCAACTTGAAATCCATTTCTTAGAAATTTTTAATAATCTTACTTTTTCACATGATTTCAGGCATAAATTTTTTGTTTCGAATGTTCTTTCTCTATTGATGGTTAAACATGATAGTCCTAAAATAGTAGAAGAGAACAGAATGATGTGTACTTACTCCTTTGACAAGTTTGATGAAGGATGTGATACTTTTTGAGCAAAATCTCCTGAGAACATATAACAATGGATTAGGATATTAGCTGAATCAGTTCTATTTTAAATTTTTGTACAAGGACAGATGCATATATGTTTTGAATATACTACCATCATTAGTCACAATGATCAACCCAGTTGTAGCAACATCAAGACGGCCAACAGTAAATAGTCGTGGTCTGGGTATTCCGGAATTTCTCCTATCCTGAAAATGCAAAATACAAGTTGATCAATTGACAAATTGAATGCACGAATATGCTACCAGGATACATTTCTAAATGCTAAAATAATCCTTTAATCCATACTTGCCCACATAGGCAGTAGGCATCGAATTGAAGAAGTGTTAGACGAAAATGCAAAATGCATGGTAAGCCATAACATACCCAAGTCTTCAAATAATCTTCAAATAGACTCAACACAGATTTATTCTCCCCAGATGCGCAAATGTACCTATCATCATAATATAAATGCATTAATTTCAAATTGAAAAGTTGCAACAAAGAATAACCATAGCGGCCAAAACAAGAGCAGCAACAAGCCAGTAGCAGTGGCATACCCTTTAGGCTTGTTAAGGGCAAGATAAACCTTTGGAGGCAGTCTCTTTGGAAGCCGATTTCCATTGACGTATATGATATCCCTTCCAGGATCAACTCGAGTCTACACATAAACAAAAGAAATACTAGTATAGTACAACTGTAACACTAAAGTACAACTGTGAATCCGTGATGCTAAAAAGATATACAATATCAAATACAACCCAACACACGAAATAGGGGAAGGAATGATTATGGAAATATACAGAGAAAAAAAGAAGAAGAAGAAGCTAACCTGAGGAGTATTGCATACAGAGCCATTCACAGTGACCTTCCCATCAAAAATAAGTTGCTCGCTGCTCCTCCTTGACGCCACTAAAACCAAAGGAAAACCATTAACACTGAAAAACAGTGAAATTGGAGAAATGGGTTCAATTTTGAATTTGAAAAATGCCATTCTTCAATCAATGGCCCAAATTACATACATACATAGAGAGGAGGAGTTGATATAATTACCTCCGGCAGCAGCGAGAACCTTGCTGAGCCGCTGCGAAGCGTCTCTGAAATTTTCGTTGTAGAACCTACGAGCGGCTTTTGAATACTTGGGCTCAGCTGTGGGCACGCGCTTCTCAGCGCTCTCCTTCTTCTTCTTCGTCTTGCTCTTGGTCTCAATGGCCTGGAGGAAACGCGCAGGAGGGTGCGACTGGAGCTTGAGGTTGCCATCCTCGCCGCGGACGATCCACGGGATGATGAGCTGGCCGGCGAGAGCCTCCGGGTCGGGCTCTGCGGAGTCGGGTTTGAGTTTGGGCTTGGGCTTAGGTGGCGCGAAGGTGATGTTGAACTCTAGAGAGGAAGAAGAAGAAGAAGTAGAGAGGGAACAGGTGATGCGAGGGAGTGTACGGATGGGTATGAGAGAGAGTGAGGGTTTGGAGAAGAGTGAAGAAGAGAGTGAAGAAGAGAGCGAAGCTAGTGCAGCAGCTGCCACTGAAGCCATTTTTGATTGCCGGGTCTTTTCGTTTTTGGTTGAGGTTTTTGCAGTGGATATATATTATTTTATTTTAAATTGGATGGGCTTTTTTGTTTAATTATTGGGCTTTTTTTTGGACCTTATGGTTTACGATCCAAGAGGTAGATATATTTTTATTTTTTTTAATAAAAAAATATATTTATTTATATCTCAAAACTCTCAGAAAAATAACTTCGAAATATTTGAGTATTAGACCCAGCGATAACCTGTGAGTCGGATAAAAGGTTATGTTAAAACTCGTGAAGAAGGAAAAAACATGCGAAAGTTGGTCCTTGTCAAAAGCTTTGGCCACTTTGTTATAACTTATGTATGCTTCTGGCTGAAAATAATATGCAAGCAAACTGAAGGTGATAAAAATTTATTATTAATGATCATGTTTTTTCCCAAGATTACAATTTTAATTTGGAAACCCGAAAATACACCGATTAGGATCAATTGAAAAAATTTACCAGCAACTCTGGACGAATGGGCTGAAAATCTTGTAACAAATTATTTTGGCAGATGTTTGTGTAAGACAATCCCAAGAGAGCAACAGTTAATTTTCATAAACGTGTATTCTATCACCATATGCTGTGTATGGCAGGCATACTCCTTTGCACCACAATAAGGCTGGAAAACTTGCCGCCAGTTAATGTATCCGCGAAAAATGAATGTGCAAACCTGAAGCACAGACAAGCGGCCGGTATTCGTTAACTACTGATTAATTCCATAAACTAATTTGTTGATCAGGATTAGAGAGACATCAAGTGATAAACAGGAGATCAATGAACTTACTAAACATGTTTCCCATCATGGAACTGAGCATTTCTTGAAGATTTGAAGGTTTCCAAAAATTCTTTGGCCTTCTTTAACTCGTACGTCTGCCTCGAATCATCCCAGTTGTGTTCAGAAGCTAATATTTCAATTACACGAGGCAATGCCCTGCTTGCTGCATTGGTATCGAGGAAAGCAAGCCGAGATCTCCGAGCAATGAAATCAATGGCAGATTCACAGTACTCATTTCGAGCACAGTAAGCAACCTCAGCCTCTAGAATAGGGTATCCATGGGCAAGCCTCTTCCCCAGATTTTCATTCTAAAATGTGAAAAGAAGTTAAAAGTAAGCATTAACCTCAAAAGTAAGTGAATGATCCAAAGAAAAGTCACTAAAGTCACAATTTTGCATGCTGAATTACAATTCCAAATTTCCCAGGGATTACAAGTTTATGCACTAACATAATCCAGAGTGGTAAAAATTATGGAGCAAACATCAGTGTACCATTCTCCAACAAACTTACTTCTAAAGATGTTTAATAATCAGTGACTAACTTTATATTTGAAAAATTCAATTAAAAAGAAACCTAATCCCTTTCAAACGCTCATGATACATATGGGCCCCCATTCCCCATCAACGCATGGTGTTCTTGGACTCATCATTACTCTAGATGGTGAATATGTTATTGATTGTGAACCAATATTGGGTTATTTACACCGAGGGATAGAAAAATTGCTCAAAACCAAATAATTATACAATATTTGCCCAAACGCTCTTCTACATATGAAAATAGACACCAGCAACAACAATAGCATATTATGATAGGTCATAACAACAAAGTGAAATTGGAGCGAGAAAAACCAACCTGAGCAATGGCAGCAACTCGTTCAGCCCAAGTACCATATGCATGGGACAGATGCTTTGCTGCAGCAGTGTCCATCACTCCAGGAACAACTTTACCATGACTTTTCTTCATGCGTGTATATTGTTGAGCAATAACTGTAAAAGATGCAGGGTCCCATCCATCTCCACCGACAATCTGCAGCTTCGAGGTCAAACATCCATTTTGTGGGGTGAGCTTTCCAGACTTTATTGCTGCATTAACCGCATCTTCTGCCATGCTGAAAAATTTCTAGTCAGAAAATACTTGTGTGGAGTCAGACAGACAGAGAGGAAGGCGGGCATACAAAGGGAGTGACAAAGATGTTAAGGGTAAAGGTCTTAGTTTATAATGTCAATATACCTAAACATTTAAGCCTAATATTAAGTACGCCATCTGCAAAACAATCTAGAAGGGACATTCGAAAAGAAGCCTATCCAACTACATAAGTATACTGTTGCCTAGTCTCAAATTGGAAACCCCTGTGGATGTGTAGCTTCAGTTGCCCTCTAACTATAAAGTAACTCATCTCAGCACAACTAAATAAACATTACCCACGGTAAGTGGTCCACTTGCCACCTGTGATTGTTACCAAACCAGGATAATCTTCACATACAACATGATCTCTGGAGATGCTCTCGGTGTTTTTTGCAGATGGATCTGTTGCCAAAGGGCGAATACCACTCCATGCAGAGAGAACGTCTGTGCGTCGTACCTATATTTTTCCAGAATACTTTAGTCTCAACAAGAAAACTAAACCAAAAAAGAAAGAGAAAGACATCAAGACTGAGCTACAGCTCTAAATGCTTAGATATAAAGTATCAACTAGACAAAGAATTCCTTAAGGAAAAAGTGTTATACTGAGGAGTCAATCAATAGCCTGTTATTCGTTTCAGGATCTCTTAAGCTGTCAAGGAAAATAATGCTCCATAACCTGAGATAGTAAATTCAACAACAGATGACAGATGCATGTTTCCTTACACTGCCTCCCATAACAAACATATAAGAAACATGAATCGTGCATTACTTGCTGTAAGTGCTTGTGTCAGCCAATCATACAAAGGGCCAAAATGACAGCATGTGACAAGCCCTGAATGCTGATACATGTGCACTACTTTTCCAATCTGAATAGGGATGATTCAAAGAATTGGCTTGATCATACTGTGAAATTTACTCACAAAATACTGACTAGCTGACCAAATAGACAGAAAAGCAATCATTGAGAAAACAGATATTTAATTTTGTCTAACATCTATTTGACGTGTGATAAACATGGTGCTGGGTGATTGAAAAGTGGATAAGCAATGCAGGCAAAGATGCCACCCACACAAACACGGAGAATCACAGACCTTGACATTCAGGTAATCACAAATGGCATCCAGTATGAATTGAATCTCATCCTCATGTGGTTCAGGAAGCAGAGTAATAGGGGTGTTGGAATCAGTGGTGCCAGCAATTGTTCGTCCCAACCACGGTAGCATAAAAACAACACGTCCATCCTTAGTTTTAGGAACAATCAAACCCATACCTTCAGGAGAATAATAATCAGGAAGTACAATATGTACACCACTGCTTGGACATATCATAGGCTTTACATCTTTGTCTGCCAGCTTCCTTACAGAATCACAAAATGGCCCAGCAGCATTCACAACAACTTTTGCATATGTGTCAAACTCTTTTCCTGAGAACTTAAGAAAATACAGTAAGAATCACAACGGTCAAAAGGAAATCTTCAAATCATCATTCACATAATCACACCAACATAATATATGTCACTAGAAGAAGAAGAAGTGTGTTCTAATTCTACCTGATAAATTGTCTCGGATTCTTGCACCAATTGTCCGATTGCTAGCCTCATCCTTCAAAAACGAAACCACTTCTGCATGGTTAAGCACTGCTGCACCAGCTACTGCAGCAGAGCACGCCAATCCAACATTAAGACGTGCGTCATTCATCTGCCCATCATAATACACCACGGTGCCCTTCAAGCTTTTATTGTTACCCTTCCTTGCAAGAGTGGGGAAGAGCTCAACAGATTCTTGTGCCGAATAATATCTAGACACATGTAACAGGCGTAGTCCTGCGACCAAATCGTACATTTTCAAGCCCATCCAGTAGTATACTACCTCAAACCAGTCAAAACATGGTGTCATGCATGGCAAAGCATGACAGAGGTGTGGTGCATTCTCAATAACCTGTTTACGCTCCTCAAGCGCATGGAATACCAGCTTCAGCTGCCCGTAGTCAAGATTAAAAACAGCTTTCTCCAAGTACCGAACACCTAACAGAATAATTTTGCATAAGCCACCAAGATAGAAGTCAATTAAAAATAAGCAATTAGCCGTAAAATGTTATCAAATTAAAGTAGCTTAAAGAAGGCTAATAATTATTAACTCCAAATGAAAAAGTTGAATATCATATCAGCCACCATATCTTACAGCCCACTTTGATTAGTATTTATCATAGCAACAGATAAATATAGATTTAGTATGACAACAAAAAAGAGGTACAAAAATGGATCGCCTTAGGCCAATCATAATCGTACAGTCTAAATTGAAAACTAAAACAAATCTCCACTTAAAATTAAAATCAAAATCGACAACCATATCCATATGCCGTAGCAATATACAGAGCTAACAAAATTGCAACGGTCTCATTGACGCACACAAATGCATTAACAAGACGACGAAACCAAGAAACGTCAACAGCAACCGGAAATGACAAAATTGAAACTTGACAAACCGCGTAATGTAACGTGTACGCATACAACTACAAGTCTACAAGTACATGTATCATAATTGTATATACGCATACCTCCGTGAATTAGCTTCGTGGACCGCGACGACGTGCCAGATGAGAAGTCCTCGCGCTCGACGAGACCAACGCGGAGGCCTCGGGTGACAGCGTCAAAAGCAACTCCACTGCCGGTGGCGCCACCGCCGACCACGAGAATGTCGAGCGGGTTCTCGGCGGTGGCAGCGATCAGAGCAGACTCCTGGACCGCCCTGGGCGGAACGACGGCGTTGCGGTCGCTGATCCTCTGGCGAACAGCTGCGATGGAGGCAGGCCCACTGCCGCGGTCGCTGGCGGAGTACGACGGTTGGATGAGGAACGCGCCGCTAGCTGCTGTTGCGACTGCGGCGGCGGCTCCGAGCCGGCGCAGGCGTATGGCGGTGGCCATTAATTCGAGAGTTTAATGAGAGAGCGCGAAGGAGAAAGAGAGAGAGAGAGAGAGAGAGAGAGAGAGGCAGCGTTGGGAATCGGTCGCGGGGGATTTGGATTTTTGGATGAGTTGGTTTTAGAGTGAGATGCTGTAGTGTCGTAAACTCTCGTGC